TTGGGATTATTAGAGCAATAAAATTTGTACACATTTGCATTCAAATGCTAAGATTAAATTTGTGTATGTTTTTTTTTTTTTTTTAATATATAAACTAGTTTATATGCCAATTACGTTAGAACGTTCGCGTGTGCACACACACACAGATACACACATACAGATGTGTGCGTGTGTGTACAGTTATCACAAAAAGCTTTATTCGCATTGCAGCAGCAGCAGCAGCGACAACCTTAAAAGCATTTGATTCTTGTGCTTTTACAGGCCAGCCAAGCACTTGGCTCGAATTGGGTCAAGGCCAACTAAACAACTTCTGCAACCGAAACGCAATTATTAAACCGCAAAAGTCAGAGTGCAAATGTCAAACAAATATTCGATAAAGGCGTCAAAGAATTGAAGTGGAGGAATGACAAAATCCCGTGAATAATCAAAACACAAATAGCATTTTTCAGCATTATTCAAGGAATTATTTTCTATGGTGGGAGTGTTCAAAGTTTAATGTATTTTTTATTCACCGCTTTCAATAATTTGTAGACAATAATATGCTAATGAATCTGCCGTCCGGGAATACCCCGCCAAAAAAAAAAAACACTTGAAAAGAAACTTGTTTCCCAATGCAACTACTAACCAATGAAAACAGAATACACTCATCTACAAAATGATCATTAGCATCAAGAGGGAATGCACAGCAGAAAAAATAAATGTGCTTTAGCACATCATATACACAGATATAAACATTTTCTATCTGAAATGTCCAAAACAAAGACGCAATCATGCCTACAAAAAGTTGATTTAAAAAAAAAAAAACGCACAAAAACAAAAACCTCTCGCACATAAAGCACACAAAAGTGTAGAAAAATCTTTGTCCGACCTTGAACTTGAACGAATCTTTCAACTTGATGTTGATTAACAATTAACAACAACAACAACAACAGCAGCAGCAGCAGAGAGCGAGCGAGACAGCGAAAGAGTTGAACGAAAGAGAGTACCACAGAGCCCAGAACTGAGCTGCGACTAGCAGCATCAAGACTTAACAACGGAAGGGGGCGCGCGCGCGCGCTTATAAATTATGAGAAAACAAGCTTTGAGCCCGAGCGGAAGGGGGGCGCGCGCCAAGGGATAGAGGATCTACACAGCTATATAGACACAGAAAGTAAGTGGTTTGACCAGACAAATGACGCACGTTCCATATGAACAAAGTACATACATTATAGACACATCTAACTTGAAATACCAGACCTATTCTTTCAAAAAAAAAAAAAATTATATTACTTTTCTATACATGTAATAATATAATTTATTTGTTAGCCTACAAAATGCAAACCTAATGAAACCTGTTCAAAGCAATAGAACAATCAAAACATAATCAATAACAACAACACTTTAAAAAGATTGAAAACAAATTGTGAAATATAACTTTGAGAAATAAGAGGTAAAAACTTTGTTTTGTTTGTGTTGTTCTTGGTTTACTGTCGAGGAAAATTGTTGGGTTTCTTGTTTGTTGGTGTCGAGATTCTTTGTTATATATAAATCAGAGATCATTTAAAAATTGGGGTTTGTTGGCACCGCTTCAAGCAATTTCTGTTTAAGATTTAATGTATAAAATTAAAACATAAAACAGAGACTCAATTGGCTGGAGCGTAATGCAAGGTAAATGTAAATTGACGTAGAATAAATTATAATAATAATAAGAGATATGTATGATATATATACAATAAATATATATATATATATATATGTATATATATGTAATTTAATGTGTATACACTTAATAATAATGCAGCGTAAAATAGGTAAATGAAGTATGATTATAATTTTTTAGATAGTTTATAGCTTACCCTGGGGCGGCGCTTTAAGTGTAAGCAATATATTATAAAAAAAATTGCTTCAAATAGAGTGGAAGAGCTTTATTTTTAGGCAAAGCTTTGCTCTCTGTTTGCTACATTACCTGAAAACTCTGTAAAAATGTTTTTTCTTTTTGTTTTTTTTTTGGAGGGGGAAGGTAAAATGTATGATGAATGTTTTGTTTTTTCTTTGGATGGAGTGGAGTTTAGGAAACTGTGGAAAGCTCATGGGGGAAGAGGTTTGGATATTTGGTTTGGATTTGTTTGGCACAAACAAAAAACGAACTTAAAATATCAAAATTAATTTCATTTTGTTCGCACTTCGCCCAACCGATACCGTCGAGCGAAGCATACTTACCTGGTAATAAGCGCAAAAGAGTATCTGATGACCACCGACTGTAGAGGGCGCCACCATCAAGTACCAGCGCTTAAGCAACAACTGTACCTCACCACCCACTGGATGGCTACGTGCTTTAAATGCGCGGCATTAACTTGATCGGGCGGATGTGCTTACGGCAACGGCAACGGCGAGGGCAAGGGCGACAGCAACTCTGTACCAAGCTGATCCGCTCTTCTCCTTCATCTTTTGCTCCTTTTTTTGCTGCTACTTTGTACACTGATTCACTTGACTCGTTAAAGTTTACAAAAGGAACGCGCGATAATGCGTGCGCAATGCGCTCTCAAGAGAGAGCGCCGCGCGTGTGCATTGAACGTAACGGTAAACGGAGCGAAAAGCTGCGCGCACGCGCTCTCTTGCTTGGTCAAAAAGAATTGCCAAACTCGGAGAGTAAACGAGAATTTCTTAAAAACTAGCATAAAACATAATGGATAAACACAAATTAAAGTCAATAAATGAAACAAAAAAGTCCCGTCAACCAAAATAAAGCAAAATTATATATATACATAGACATTGTATGTATAATATAATATATAGATAAATATACATAGTACTAAAATTACAATTTAAGAACTGCATGCGTATTTTTTTTTATATAAATATATATATATGTATATATTGTTTAAAAAGAACAAAAAAAATCAACTAAAATCGTGTAAAAAAAACATTAGCTCGCGCTGTAGAGGGGAAAATGGGAAAAAGTTCTAAGTTCGAAGACGAATCAACAGATGTTCGCAATTATGAATATGGCGAAAAGCAAATGTAACAAAAATGATAACAAACAGTGCCGAAATGGGGGTTTGTTGTGAAATATATATATGTGTGTGTGTGTATGTGTGGGTATGATGTGCGTGTGTTGTATGACTTTTAACAAAAACAAAAGTTAAACTTGAATTTAGATAGTTTCTTTTTTTTTTTTGCTTGTTAAAATTGCTAGAAGTGGTTTACCAACAATAACAACAAAACTTTTGACAGGACTGCAGCAGCACTTGAAACAAACACTAGAGCTTTCGGTGAGAGAGTGAGAGGGACAGAGAAAGCAACGTTGGGCAGACACGCACACGCACACGCACACACACACGTGGGGAGAGAGCAACGTTGTGAATACATACACACACAACCAGGCATAGCAATAACTAAAGTGACGTACATATGAGTATTGCTATTGATAACGGCAACTTTTGTTATCAACTCACACGCACACGCACACACACACACACACATATTACACTCACGCACAAAACATAATTAAAAACTAACTTAACACAACACAATCAAAGTTGAAGCTGCAGTGTGCTGTATGAATGTGTGTGTATGTGTGTGTATATCTGTCTCTGTCTGTGTGCGTGTGGGGAAATGTGCTGAGCGTGGGAGAGCGCAATTGAAGTGTCTTCGTTTTCTTGAATGCTCTGGCAGCGAATGAGTTTAAAGTGAGAGAGAGAGATAGAGATAGAGAGAGAGAACTTATGGAGCAGCAGCTTGCGGCTTATGTTAAAATAGCATGGCAACTAAATAAGTATATAAAAAAAATATGTTTGTGTGTGTGTGTGTGTGTGTTTGTGTGTTAAACAATAAATATATAAAATATATATACATAACAAAATGTTAAAAACCAAATGCGGCACAAAGAACACCAAATACATAAGAGAACCAAATGATTACCAAATAGTATAATATATATATATATATATATAAAATGATATATATATGTAATAAAAAATAATATTTATATATATATATGTGTATATTAAAACAAATCATACATTGAACACATTTCATAAAGCGCAAATGAATTGATGGTAGTTTGGTGAGTTGTTATTTTATAGTAAAAAAGTTAGTTATATAGTGAAGGATAGCTATATCGGGGGCTTGGGTAAATAGTAGCAAATGTTTTTGTTGGTGGTTGGTTGTGTTTTTCATTTATGTGTGTTAAAAATTATATTAATGTAGTATAATAAGTACAATAAATATATACAGAACAAAAAAAATCGAGTTATACGAATTATGTGTGATCAAATCATAAAAAAAAAAAAACAATTGAAGTTAGTTATATTAAAAAAAAAAAAACTCAAAATAAATAAAAGAGTAGTATACTTTCAACTTGCACAAATTATGTTTTTTTTTTTTTTTTTTTGTTTTTAGGTAATTATTTTTGGCTAAAGCATCGAGAGCGGAGCAAAGCAACACAAAAAAAAAATATTTTTAAGTAAAAACATAAGCAATAAATTTAACTTTTTAATTATACTTGAAACATTTGTGAAATGATTTGTTCTTAAATTTTTTTTGTTTGCTGTGCCGCCGCTTCGAATTTTGTTTGTTTTTTCTTTTTCATTTTTTTTTTTTTTAGTGTTTTTGCATATTTCTTGTTGCTTGTTTTTTATCTTTACTTTCTTTCTACACTTTCTGCCTAACAAACAATTCTTTCTCAAACGTTTAAGAGCTTTTTTCGGAGCACGACTTTTTGCAGTTTTATGTTATGATTCATTTAATTTCAAAAAATGTATTTAGTTATTTATTAGTTGTAATCGAAAACGTAAAACAAATATTGTGAATTGAGAGTTGTGTGAAAAATAATTGTCTTTATAAAGAGCATATTTATGCGTCTACTAATTTGCATTTGAAAATTTTAGCTGGTCGTCGTGCTCGGCTGGTCTAACCATATTTCTAACTGTTTTTGCTTTTTCATTTGTATTATTATATATTTATATATGTATAGTCTTGAACTATCTTTCCGAGTATAGAGTATGCAATGAAAAACTCACCTTGTGGATCCCGTTGCTGTGCATCCTGTGCGGCCATTAGTCCAAGTTCATCCTGAGATCTGTCGTGTTGCCATGTTGCATATGCTATAAATTTGAAAAAAAAAGAAGGTAAATCGATATTAATTAAAGAACTTTTATTGAATTTAAAGATGCGGAAACCAACCTTGACTAGATCCTTCGCCACCCTGACTGGTGCTGGCCGCTTGGTCCAGCTCCTCCATTGTCATATCCTCCTCATCCAAAGTCAAATCCTCAACATTCTCATCGTGCGCATCATCATCGTATTCGGCCTTGGGCTCAATTACCATTTCAGTTGTTGTTATGCTATTATCTTTGATCTTCTGTTTATGATTCGACTTATCGAGCGTTGTCAATTGCTTAACGACGCCAGTGTGAACGGCAACGGTGCCAGTTGCACCGCCAGCTGCACCACTTGCCACATCCATATCTTCAGCATCGCCTTGGGCGCCTTGATTCTGTTGTTGTTGTTGTTGTTGTTGTACATTGTCGGTGTTAATGGCATCGCTTGTTGTTTGTTGCTGCTGCTGCTGCTGCTGCTGTTGTGGGGCGCCCTGGACAGCTGCGGTCGATGTTAGTTTAGCGCTTTCAGTCTTTTTGGTAACGTTACTGCTGCTGCTGGTGGTCAATGGCTGGTTCGATACTTGGCTTCCGCTGCTGCTGCTGTTGCCGCAGGCTGTTGCACTGACGGCCGTTGCACTTGCTGCACTGCCGCTGGCCAATTGAGTGCTGACCAGTGCGGAGGCAGCAAGGCCAGCGCTTGTTTGTTGGAGGATTGACTGATTGGAGGCGGCGGCTAGCACTGACGAATTGGAGTTGTCGTGCACATCTATAATTAGATGGGAAAATTTGTATTAGTTGACAATTGCATCGTTTGTATTGCTTGTATTTATCACATACCATTTTCCATGCTGCGGCGTCGCACTTTTCGACGACGACGTGATGGACTGGAGGAGCCTTCACGCGAACCGGACACATCAGCGGCATCCACCATGCCAGCACCAGGGGCTGCTGCGCCGCTTGTGATGCGCGCACGCTTGGTCTGCTCCAGTGTATAGGGTGCACTCAGTTTGACGCGATGGTGTGTATCCGGTTTAGGTGCTTGCTGTTGTGCTGCAGCAGCTGCTGGGCCGGTGCCGCTGCGATTGTCGGATAAGCCCTTGATCTGCAGCGATTCGGCGGCCTTGAGTAGCGCGGTCAGTTGATCTTGCGAGATGTTCACCTCGCCGCGATACATATAGTCCATCATGGCGCGCAGCTCTTGGTACTTGACATCCTTGAGTATGAAAATTGGATGCTTGTCGTACTGTTCTTGCAGCAATGTCTACAATATGCAAACAATTTATATATTAATAAATTTTACATTTGTTACGTTTAATTGTATGTTTGTTTACTTACAGCAAAATAGGGACTGCATGCTGATAGTACCACCTTGTGGGCCTTGAGAAATTTGCCCTCGGCAGCGAGCGTACAATCGACTAGTGTCTCATTTTCTAGCAACGTATCAAAGACGCTGATTAGCGTGCTCTGATGGTTATTCCAGCGCAAACAAAACTGTTGATCGTCGTCCATGTTTGCCCCGAATTTTTAAACAGTTTAAAGGAAGGAGAAGGGAAGAAGCCTTTTGCCGACCGTCGTCGTTCGACGTGGCTCTGCCGCTTGGAGTTGTGCTCTCTGCCAGGCGCGTTTTTCTTTTTGCAGCTTTCAGGAAATTACAGTTTAGTGTCGCAGGCAAGGTTGATATATGCTTTGTTTTTGTTTTGTTGTAAGCTTGTTGTTTGGTTTGTCTGCTTTATCTTCTGGCTGTTATCTTCCTTCTTGTTTTTGTCAAATGCTTGTAGTTATGTCAGTTTAACTGCAAATGCAATGGAAAAATAGCACAAAAAAAACAGTTAGTAATGGTTGCCATACAAATAACTAGACAACATTTCACGCAAATACACGCACACACACACATTAAAGCAAAAAAAAAAAAAAAAAAAAACAATAGCAATTAATTACTCGCTTTTATGTTTTGCAACTAGCAAGCGCTTCAAGGTCAAGTTCATGTTTTATTTCAGCTACGGCAAGGCAACAAAAAGCCGCCTAGTGTCTCTTTTGCACACACACACACACATTCATACATAAACGCTCAACAGAGCTCGAAAATTCAGTGAGATTATTATTTGCATTCTTCATACGTATAAGCACAAATCTATATATATATTTATATATGTATATGTTTATTTTTATCTACATATGCAAATTACACAGCTTCGGAATTGCTTCAACACACGCACATACACTAACACGAATGAAACATACTTTTCCAACACACAAAAGCGCCCTCTGTGACGCCTAAACACACAACTGCGAATGCAATTTTTTTTATTCTTGTTCCGTCGCTTGCTTTCAAATACTTCTATCTTTGCTTCGATTTTTTTTTGTCTCCTTTTTTGTTCTTTTCTTAACTTTGCTCATTCGAACGGCACTCGCCACCACACCACTCTCACTCAACAAATGAGAGCAAGCGATAGCAACGAGAGCGCAAGTACAAATACTCGGCTAACGGATTTTGTGGCGATGTTACAGTTGCTAGTGTTGGAGATCGATGGAAACGATAAATGACGACGAGACGTTGCGACGTCGACGCGTCGTCGTCAGCTAACGAGGCAGCAGGCAGCATGAAACATAAAGAGGGGAAGTTTCGCAGTCGCAGTCGACGTTCGCGTCGTCACTGCTGCATGCACAACTACAAACGTACAATATATGTGAACGAGATGAACGTGTGTGCGTTTTCAGTGTGGTTTTTTTTTCCCCCAGTGGGTTTTTCGTTGTGGAAAATTTCACAAGTAGACACACACAGACACACAGAAACGTTTACGATTTTCAGATAATTTTAAAGTTGAAGAATGAAGCAATCGCTGCCTGTCACATATTTGTGTGTGTGCGTCGTTTGTTTTATGATGCATTTAAAAATAGAACATTTTTCATTTGAAGCAACACTCATACATAATACAAATGGGGGAGACTTCGCATAGAAATAATTTCACATTTTGTATGTCCATATTTATTTTCACTTCACAAACTTACTTAATAAATTTCTTAATGCACGAGAAAAAACAATTTGTTTTTCTATATGATTTAAGCGTTTGTTGTTGTTGCTGCTGCTCAATGTGTGTGTGTGTATGTATTGTATGTAATTTTTTGGCCAGCACACCGCACGCGTCGCGATCTGCCGTGCACACACTAAAACCAAACAAAAGCTCCAAGCGCACGAAAGCAACTGAAACGACGTAAATGTGCTGGCGACTGAGAGACCCTTTTTCATTTTCGCCGCGACGCTTCGTCGACGCTCACTCATTGCTCTCGCTCTCGACGCGTTCGGTTTGGCATGCTCGCCCGCTCACTCGCACACACCAAAATGGCCGACCAGTGCGAAGTTGCTGAGAGCGAGCGGCGTCCCTGTGTGTGTGTGTGTGTGTGTGTGTGAGAGAGTGAGCCTCACATATGTATTTTGGGGGCACGTTATGAAATTGCCAAGTAGGCAGACGACTGGCAGCCCAAGGCAGGTAGGCAAAAGGAGCCTTTTAAATGCATTGCAGTGAGCGTGCCAAAGAGCAGAGCAAATATAACGGGAATACATCCCGAACACATACACACGTAAGCAGGTAAACAGACAAACATAATGCGAGCAATTGAATTCGCCGCGAGAGCCAGCCAGCCAGCCAGGCAGCGATTGATAGAGAGAAAACGTGGCAAGAGTTTTTGGAGTCGGTTAGTAATGCCGCCGCTGGGTCACATTTTCAATTTTCAAAATGGAAGCGAAAAATATATGAAAAAGCAAATTAAGAAGACTGATGCCAGCGCGGCGAATTTGCATGGAAATTTTTAATGAAAAGGGGAGCGCGCGCAGTTGCATCTTGTATGCATTCTTGTTGTTGTTTTCTGTGCGTCCGTTTCCTGCCGTAATTTAATCATCAACATAAAAAAGAGGTGGAAAGCAGCAGCGGCAACGACAGCTGCAGCACACGCTCACTCGCTTGTTCGTTTTTATGGCCCACGTCGGTAAGGAAGGCAGGCAGGCAGGCAGGCAGGCAGGCAGGCAGGCAGGCAGGCAGGCAGGCAGTCAGGCAGGCAGTCAGACAGGCGGCGGACAGGCCGACATAGAGAAGTTCTATAGAAAACCTAACTGTGCCCATGCACAATTCTCTAGCCACAATGCGCGCAACAGAGACAGCATGATGTGCGCTACGTGACGCAGAACAGAAGACGACGACGACGCTGGGTTTGCTTTCGGCTTTTCGCTTCGGGCTCCCTTTTTCACAAGTTGGTTTTTTTTTTTTTTGCCAAGTGAAAAGGAAGCAGCCGATCAATATAAAATATAATGGCGAAAAACACATGCTGTGCTTGTTGTTAGGAGTTGCTGGCTGAGCACAAGGCGAAAGAGGAGCAAAAAAGAGATGCCAGAGCAGGAGGGCACCGTTAGGCGGACGGTTACATTGTGTGAGGGATCAGTTTTTTCTATTTACATACGTTTGCTCGTATGTATGTATACCTATATATGCATATGTATGTGTGTGTGCGAACTTGTGTGGCCTTTGTACATAAGGTGCGAGTCATGCGCAGTGGCGCCATCTGTTCTTAGTTAGAGTAACTCTTACCCCAAGTGGCAGCGACGTTGACGGCGACAGCGACGCAGATGATGCATTGGCTAGACAATGTCGACGCGCTCTGCCGTCGTTCGCCTTAAGCTGAGGGTTTTTCCTACGCACACACACACACACACACACACATATATATAGAACAACAAAGCAAAAGGGATTTATTTTAGTTGTTATTGTAGTTCAACAACAGCAGCCGACAGACGCCGAGGAGTAGTAGGTAAAAACGGGCGGAAGGGCGGCTCGCTGCCAACGCATGCAGCGACTGCAGCCGCAGCAGCAGCAGCAGCGTCAGCGTCAGCATGAAAAAGGATCTCTCTCGCTCTCCCTCCCGCTCTCCCTCACGACATTTTGTGACGCACGCTCTTTGCACATGCAAGGTTTTATTTTTGCGCAGATGGTGGAGGATTATAACGAAAATTGGGATCCTTTTTTCCCAACGCAGGCAGAGAGAGGCAAAGCGTTTTCGTTGCCGAGCATGTTGCTCTTTGTGCGGAAAAAGTACAGTTGGACCCCACAGAAAATGTTGTAGAGATGACGCGCATTATTTGCGCTTTGGGGGCGCTCTCTCAGCGGATGTGGCAACCATGCAGCATAGAGTTGTCGAAAAATGTTGCCGATTGTGAATGAGCATGAGAGTATGAGTAATATCTGGGCTTGTATTGAGGTCTACTATCAAACGACGTCCAAACAATTTCTTTACGGAACGTTGTTAGCGAAAATCTCAACTTTGTTTATTTTAGCAATTTGCAATTAAAATGCGACGGAATTGCATTTCCGATACATCGTATTATATGCAATTGCAGACATGATGAAATAGATGCGAATGAGTACTTATAACATAATGTAAGTACTTATAATGGAATGTAAGTACTTATAATGTATTGGGATCTACTATCAAACGACGTCCAAAATTTTCATATGCGGTACGTTGTTAGCGAAAAACCCAACCTGAGATATTAATTTAGCAGCTGCCGTTCTTGGGTTGTTAAGATATGGATAGAATATCCCTCAACACCTCCATTATAAGCAATTGCAACACTGAGTTTAAAGATAGTAAAATGAATACTTAGAAATAGATGTGTATTGCATATGTCTATAACTAGATTTTTACAAACAGGTGCCAAAAATACCGGAAATTGTATAAGTTTATAACCTCAAAACGAGGCAAAGCGAGATTTATCGATTATTCTTGTGGGGGAAACACGAAAAGTTATCGAAATGCAAAAATCTATTCTAAAGGGGTTTCGGCTTTTATAATCTCTTAGTTTGACGCGTTTTATAAGGACTTTATCTTGATCATGGTATCAGATGCATTCTACTTTCTTCTAAATAGATTTTCACAACTTTACTTAATCCCTTTCAATCAATTTGTAAAGATTCTATTGTTTACAGCAAAATGTCATTTTTGATGTTCTTAATCTTATTTGATATTCAATAGACTGCATTGTGGAGAGATCTACTATCAAACTAAAGCGTTATCAAAATGTCACGCAATGTTAGCGAAAAACTCTCCCATATCATGATATTAATCTAGGCACTTGAATGAATCGCAGTTGTAAGGACACAGAACTCATTAAATCAGGGATTCAAATGCCAACAACTTGAGTGCCGTGCATGATGCAAATCGGGTAAAAAAAGAAAAACCGTATATATTTATATAAAAAAAATGGAAAAAAAGGTTTTATGCTAAGCACGCGCCAGACGGTTCCTGGTCCCAGGATCCCAAAGCAACCCCGAAAACTGGTTAGGCCGGTCTAAGGCAAGGGCAAGAGCGAGTGCGAGTGCGAAGGGTACATTTTTTGGGGGTTGCAACCCCTAAAAGTGCGGCCGGAGATCCCCCCAACCGCTCTACCGTAGGGGATCACAGCGTCAACGAACAACTGTCCTGAGCTCCAGGAAGTCGAGGGGCGTACAGAAGGGACTATG